GGTTTCGTCACTCGTTCTCTAACTCGATAGAGGTTTTTTATTTGATAAAATAATACTTGCAAACAATTTCGTGTGAACGTGTTTTTTCGTCATGAACCTTGACAAAGCGATTTTATCTTCTTTAGAAATTCTTTTTTTGACACAAAAGATAAACGAGTACGTATAGTTGTTTGACAGGTGTATGCTCGCTAAAGTTGCTAACGAACTCAGAGGAACAGATATATTTTCAGCAAAAAAATAGGGTTTGCGAAGAAAAATTCAGCCGGAACTTCACAATGATAGGTAATTCTTAGAAAAGTTACACACAATGATAGTTTTCGTTTATATTTTTTTGTCTTGCAATAGAATTCCATGTGCTTCCCATATCTCAATTGTAGTAACACGTTTGCGTCTGAGTTGATCTCGAAAAAAACCAGTGATGGTTTTTTCCTATCTGAATAGCGCTAGCTATTCGCAGCGTCTGAACAGCATTGCTGCCCAGATGATGAATCGAAGCGGTTGTTATGATACACTAATACCATAGTCAGTATCTAGGGGATATCCATGCGAATTAGAATTAGCACATTAGCAAAAAAATAGGGAAATTTACATGAAGAAAATAGAGAAATTAGCAATAAATAGCAGAATTAGCACTGTACACGTATATACTTTAGTAAGAATTTATTCTTGAATTTATTGCAATAATTAATTAAAATAAAATTCACAAAACAAACGAATTGAATAGTGTTGAACTAAAATGTGTCAAAATATGTAGTTAAATACGCTTTTTCCCATTTTTAAATAAAAATATATTCAATGGCACTTAACCAAGCACGTTCCATCTGTATTAACTATAATTTACGAATTGCAATCGGAAATGTAGATTTGATGACAGATTTCTTACTGAAAACGTATACGTCTCTGTAAACGTAAAACTTGACGTTTAACGCTAGGTAAACAATAATTATATGACAAGTACTCACACGATATTCAATTTTTCTGTTTTAGTATTTTATCAATCAATTTTGAATTTAAATAATTTTAATTCAATTGAAAAATATAAAATTAATGAAGCAGGCTTGGAAGCACAAAGCAAGTGGAGTGTAATCAAGAGAAAAAAACACTTAAAAATTATTTTAATAAAATATATACAGCCCGAAACTTGATTTGATAGCACTGATGTTGTAATGTAGATAATAATTTCAATATTCAAAGGACTGAAACTTCAATAAATATAAATAGATTACATGCCTGCTTCAAATATACACGTTGAAAGTGTCAACTTGAAACATTTACGTAAACACATTTCGGTTATTCGATCATGCAGTCAATCTGACGTATGCAATATTTTTGACGTACTAGAAAAATTAGCAAAAACTAGCAGTATTAGAACAAACTAGTAGAAATACTAGCAGAATTAGTGAAAAATAGAGAGAAATAGCGTTTATTATTATAAATTATTCGATCTGCAATTCATGGTTATCCCCTAGGTCAGTATACAAACGCATGTCGAACAGAGAATGAACGCGAACGTATATGCTCTGTGTGGTACAAACGAAGTGTGTTGCGCGTGCGGCAACCGCTACGATTCAGCATCTGGGCAGCAATGCTGTACAGGCGCTGCGAATAGCTAGCGCTATTCAGATAGGAAAAAACCATCACTGAAAAAAACCGAATGTTTTTTACGTGTTGAATTTCAATACAACGAATAATGATGTTTATCCAATGAATTCATATAAAAAGGGTGTCAAGTGTTGTTACAAATAAAATTGTTTGAAAGGTCGATTTTTTTCGCATAGAATAAATGAATGTTCTAGAAAAAACAGCTTATACTTCGTTATAAATACAGACATATTTCGCACTGAAATAATCGATAAAGAAATAATATTCTAGAACATTCGAATTTGATATAAATTTCGTAAAAATTAAACAAACGCCAATTAATTTGGTATTTTCATACTAGAAGAAACGAATGAAAACAGCATTCAGTAATAAAAACAAGTCAATAAGTACATGATGAGCTAAAATCGATTGAAGTAAATTGGGTGATGGTTTCATATTTGAAGCAAATGAAAGATGCTTAATGCTGAGTTGTCATATTTTATTTGCAACTTTAAATTGAATTTTTATTAAGAACGAACTAACTTTAAATAAAAATTAAAGTTTAAAACTAAGTCACTTTGGCATATTTGGTTGTTAACTTTCGAATGGTTGTCTCTTATTCTCCTCTTTTGACAGCAAACTTCATGATATCTTTTTCGTGGCCACAGATTGCTCCAGAGTTTTTGGTGACTGCTTTATGTCTAAAACATCGAGAGTGTTGATAAGAACTCTACTTATTTTTGAATGACCAAATAAACATACATAGATGAAAGCATTTTTGACATAGTTTTAGTTCTCTTTAATTTTTTTGGACTCATGCTTGTACCACTTGCACTTTCAGTAATCTGAACTGGTTTTGACCTGAAGTTTCAATTTATAAAAAATATTCAAAATGATTATTAATGAATATGCACAGTTTTCACAAGAGAATGAAATAAAAAGAGTTACGCCAAATGTGTGATTTCTGATTCGATATTCAAAATTTCATCAATGTTTCGATTGTCTTTCAGCGTTTGTCTAGAATATTAAAAGTGTTCATTCAATTTTATCAAGCTTTCCAATAGGTATTTGAATTTTGTGAAATTCAAAACGTACATCCGTTGGAGAATTTGTCGTATTTCTCCTGATTCAGATGTGCCCTGCACTGGACTGTAAATACGAAATTTATTAGCTTACTCTCATTATAGATATTGTCATTGATACTTACATAGTAACGACTGCCAAAGCAATTAAAGCGAGTACTAAAATATTACGAAACATTTTGCTCAGATAATAAATGATACTCGAGATGAAGCCTCAAAAATTGAACTAATTTTCCACGATCTCGTCTCGTTATTTATACCATTATTCCAATAAGCGTCTACCATAGCAACGCAAAAATGTGTGAAATTTCCCAGTTCGTGCGTCGATAGAAAAAATTCCTACATTTAAAAAAATGTGAAACTATTTGCAAACTAAACACACGTTTTGAATTATAAAATTGGTAACCTAAAAAGATCGTAAATACCAGACATTATAATAAGATATTTTCAGCCAGATGAATCAGCTCAGCCAGATATCGTCAGGAGCTGAAATGGAGTGAAAACAATAAAAGTGGTTGTTATAGTGATTGTAGCATTGTAAGTGTAATTATAACCATAACAATCACTTGTATTGTTTTCACTCAATTTCAGCTCCTGACGATATCGGGCTGAGCTGATTTATCTGGCTGAAAATATCTCATTATAATGTCTGGTAAATACGCATATAAGTCATTTAAGAAAATTGTCTCACGTTTTTTCAACGTAAACAAAGTGTGCACTTTTCTTATGAATTAATTAATAATCGCAAATTTTGGGAATAAAATAAACAGATGTTAAACCGCGGAGATAGCGAAACCTAAACAGTTGAACAAATTGTGAAAAATGATAAATTATAATATTTTGAGTAATTCGAAGAAGATGCTAAAAAATTCTAGAAACTCATGAGTCAAACAAAATGACGTGTTTTTATGCGTTTCAAGGTGTTTTCAACCATTTTTTTCAATTTCGAACAAGCATTTTTTGCTGTCAACAAGGCATACCAAGGCATACTAAATATGCGCTTGAATGAAAACCAAGAAAATCTTCATTTAATTTGTACTCAAGTTATTTACTTTGCGAAGTGATTCTCATGTTTTCCTACTATTTGAGATTCAATATTAGTTATATAATTTTTGGAAATTTAAATATTTAGAATAATTTTTCGTAATTTTTACTCGATTTGGGTCAGATTTGTTTAGTTACCGAATCGTTGAAAAGACCACATACATATTGTAAATCTGATTTCAAGTTGAAATGTTCAACGCAACAGAGTCTGTTTCTCAGAGCATGTGAAGAGGAGTGATCTACGGAGCTACAGAAAAACTGAGGAATAAAGCCCCTCCTCAGTGAAGATGCTTCAAAAGTTAAAAATATATCTAAAATCAATTTATTATAATTAAATTTTTTCATTTTTCTCCTCACTGTTCACTCTCACACTTATTGCTCGGAGAAACAGTATTTGCAACTAAAGAGCATATAAGAAGAGACATTGCGATTTATCGGCTGTAAAACTTTGAACTTTTCACAAACTAAGTTTTCCCATTTCTCCTCATTTTGGTTTCGTTAATCAAAAATAAATTTCCACCACATCGAATGACATCGAGCACAAGATGGACGAACTCGTTTAAGAAAATAAAAGAGAAAATGAAGTAGAGTGCTTTTTTTCTTGTAATATTGTTTGTTTATTATAGAGACGATTTCTTACGATGTCAGTGGCATTTCGACCATTATACGTACATAAACAATGGTAAATGTTGCCAAAGTAAATATTTGGTCAGTAAATCGATAAATAAAGGATGTTTCCGACGAATTTCAAATTGACCAAAGCTAAATAAATATTATTTTGGAATGAAAGATAAAATAAACTGTCCACACCACATAAAAGCAAATTGCTTAGATGATTTTGTTGGGAAGTTAATCGAAACCAAAAGTAACATCAAATTCAGATTTATTCCAATCAACTAACAACTGTCATGCACAGCGGACCTGAATTCACTTCAACAAGAAGTCAACTACCTGTGCGTAGTAGGTTGTTTGCGTTACGTGTCTTTCACTTTTTAAACATGGTGTACCTTTATTGTTTGACAAAGAGCGCACATTTATGTGCAAATTCAATTAATTTATGTTTACTTCTTCGATGTGCCTTATTCGTTCCTCCACATTAAAAAACGACCAAATTTGTGGTGGAAAAAGTTTTTCAACATTTTTTGCTTATTTCAAATAACGTAAATAATGTTTCAATGTTTCAGATTGTCATGGCAAAAGTTTTACGTATACAAATGAACCGTCGGTCTGTGGTGCGAATATATTTCGACGGCGAAGACACTTTACTTTTATAATTAGTCATAACAAAGTAAAACATACAACAAAAAATGCAAATGTTTTGGAAACCGACGGCGCACGGAGATACTGTTTTAATATTAGATAATTTATCAATGCTTCCAGTACAAACACTCATTGACAACATATGAAAAATTGAAATATATATCTATATCACGTAAAAATAGAATTCAATCCATCAAAAGCAGAACAAAGCAAACACACCAAAATTCATTTTTATTTTGCATTGACCTTGTGTCTGAGAGGTAAACTGGCTCTCACTCTCGTCTGTGTATGAGTATGCATTTGAGAAGGTGTTATTTTTAATTCGCCCCAGCATATCTTGACTAGACATTAAGTATATTTGCATTGAGCACAGGGACAACATAGCTTGTGGCTTCAAATAAACGAATTCATCAGAAATTGTGTAAAAAGAGCAAAAAACAGCCCCATGCAGTATCGTATTGCATTGAAATATGCGAATTTATTGCAAATCATTTTGTCTACGAATTGAAACTTTTATTTGGATTTTGAAGCGCATCATTTTTCAATCACTGTTCAAGAACAAGCTTGTCGATTCTGAAGTGGAAACTATGACAACTGAACGTCATATAAATAGAATTCGAAATTGATATGATAAAATTGGAAGGACGAGATTTTTAAAACCATCAATCAATTTAGTATGGCTCGCATTTTGAATTCATGAAACGTTCAATCGAACGAATTTGGGAAACGAAACACACAAACATACTTCAGAAGACTGTTTCTATGACAGCTTTGAATTTCACTTAAATATCGTCAATTTTATTCTTTAAAAAAATACCATTCAAAGTTGGCGCATGTTTGACGAATTGACATGGGTTTTGTCCCAATTTCATCACCATTGACATTTTCGAAAATTTAAATTGACACTCTGCTTTCACTCTAAAATGAATGTCGATCCTTTGTGAAAAACTTACTCTTTTGCCCGGACAGAATCTCCTTCGATTCCGCACTTGTGAAATGCAGCTCAAAGTTCTGCAATTGTGTGTACATTGAATTTATATATGTATGTTATGTGCGTTGCCAACTGGCAACATGCACGAATAAAGGTTCATTAAAATATATGGATCAGTTAACAAAGGCTATGTAAATCAATTGGTTGCGAAATGAAGATACGTGCATGTGCGTATTTACAAAGCAAATAGAGAAGACAGCATATGGAAACTATTCAACTGCATTTGACATTTTCTTTTTGGGGGCGCAAACTTGGATAAAGCAAAGTCAATGCGAAATTCTCATTCGGTCAGCATGTTCATGGTTTCAACATCAGCAATTCAGCTGCTATTTTGATTTGTTCTCTAAATATAGATTTGTTTGTGAGTGCATTTTCAATAACTCATGCTCACAGACATATTTGCTTATTGAAGCATCATTTTTAATTTTCGATAAACTTATATTCAAGCAGACCATCGTGCTTTTTCTTCTTCATTCACATTGATGCATCGAATGCGAAACGAACATCCTATCAAAGGCTTCAATGATGTAAATTGCATCGACTACTGTATTGAAAATCAAGGGACTTTATTTTGCTGTGCAATGAATGATTTCAACTTTAAATGCATTTCATTTAATTTCCGACTTGTATTTCTCAGCGAAAATGTTCGCATCCAATAAAGAAAATGAATGATTTTTTGGGAGGAACAGACTGACGAGTGAAATTGACAGCTTAACATAACTTGGTCTCATCCGATTTAAGCCCGATGAGTATCAAACATATTTTACTATTGAAACCAGTTGAGTGTTTCGAAGTTTTTTATAAATATCGTATCGATTAAATTCGAATTTTTCATGTCTTCACACATTTTTTTATCACTGCTCTTCATTGTGTTTGTATTTTTGTGCAACACTGGTGAAAGGATCACCGATATTAAACCGCGTAACAAAGCCAGATTTTTATTTTATCTATTCTCCAATCTACTTTCGCTTTTTTATTGAGGCATTCAATGGAAAACGGAATTTTACAGCTTTTTATTCGTCCATATCAAGCTGCAGTCATGGGAAACAAATCTGTAGATGATAAGACTAGCTTCAATTTCCAGACAATATATTGAATTAACTGGTCAGTTGAGCTGACAGTACGTTAGCCAATGTCGGAATATGATGGCGGTTTATTTTCAACCAAAAGTATGTTTTAGCGTAGATGGCGCTGATTTAAATGGACATTTGTATGTATAGACGGTGGCGCCGCCCTACTCAATTAAACACTGAACTACAGCGTTTCCAATCGTTGACGTTAGCCATCTAAATGGGCTAAAACAATAGACGTTATTGTTTTAATGATGAATCACTTTTCTTGTTTTAATATAAGTGATTGTTCATTATAACAATAACTTCTATTGTTTTGGTCCATTTAGCTGGCTAACGTACTGTCAGCTCAACTGACCAGTTAGTTCAATATATTGTCTGTCAATTTCTAACCAAAATATTTTGGGGAATTTAATTCGAAATATCAGAGTCGAATTTTTGGATGGATTGAAGTTTATTCAATTAGTTTCATTTCATTCCATAACTGAACATTCTTAGCCTTATGAATTCATCGAAAAATGTAATATGAAACATGTTCAAGCCTTGAGTACATTACAAACAGACTAAATGGTCATTTATTTCCATTATCAAAATATTTGACGAACATTTTTTAAGAAATTTTCTTCATTGCAGCTGTATTGAATCGACCAACTGATATCAAAAGAAGCTATCAACTCTCATTTAAATACCTTTGAAATCGGTTAAATAATCACGGTTCTGGAAATGTGATACCGATACAAATTTATTTGGTATTTTTTATTATGCACCGAGTTTCGGGTATCTAGAAGAAAACGTGTTAAATCATTTAATGGAAAATCGTACAAACCCTTTGGAACCAGTCTATTCAATATTAAGCGAAATTTTTCGCTTACTGGGAA